TTCCATGTCACAGGCATTATTTTTACAAACCCAGAACATGTTGAGCATTTGTTAGGAGGAGAAAAGATTAAGAGTTTGTGTTTAAAAGTTTCATAATCCAGAACATGTGCTCTTAGGTTTATAATCTCCAACTCTGTCAAATGACCATACCAAACAAAAAGGGGATGCTAAAAAGTATAGGTTATGTATGTGATAAGGGTGAAGCCTATAATTATAGCAAATACTCAGTAGATATGTCACAACACTACAGTGTTACTTCACACAGGATTTCTTAGTGTTCCCTTCCCTGCATATGAATCACCACACTACTTTAATTACTTGTCATTAATATTCACAGACTTATCTCTTCCTAAAATACAAAACTGGTATGTCTTGATTTGATGATTTCTTAAGGTAGGCATTGTAGAATTATGGCATTTTGATTTTGCATAGGAAATAGGGAATGTTCCCTGGATCTTATTGACAAGGCAAATCAGGAGAACTCAGAGGACTGTGTATATGAAGTGACTTTTTTCACTTACTCCAAGCACAAAACAAAATAAACCCAACCAATCAATCAAAACAAACAAACAAACAAAAAAAACCCCACTGAGCATGGTTTATATTACCCCATACTGTCTCCTATGCTTCTTAGATTTTATTTAATCTTAGTCTTTTGCTTTTTAACCCAGAGTAAACTATTTTTAGTCTTATCATTTGATTCATAATAATCCTTCCTTCTTGTTTCAGTCACTGTTCTATTGCTGTGAATAGATACCATGGTGAAGGCAACATTTATGAAAGAAAGCATTTAATTGAGAGCTTGCTTATAGTTTCAGAGGATTAGTCCATGATCATCATGGAGATAAGCATATCAATACAAAAACAAGCATGGCCCTGGAGCAGAGAACTTTACATCCTGATGCAGGAAAGAGAGAGAGAGAGAGAGAGAGAGAGAGAGAGAGAGAGAGAGAGAGAGAGAGAGAGAAAGATTGACTGGGCCTCAAATGGGTTTTTTAAACATAAGCCCACTCCCAATGACACAGTTCCTTCAACAAAGCCACACCTACTACAAAAAGGCCACACCATCTAATCCTTCCAAACAGTTCTTTAGTTGAGGACCAAGCATACAAATAAATGATTCTATGGTGTCCATTCTCTTCCAAACCATCATACTTCTGATGGAACATCTTCATTATAGAAACAAAATTTGTAATGGTGCTAACAATTAAATGAATTATTAGTTTATAACCATAAGTTACTAATCCACAGGGCAAACACAGTTCCCTGTACATGATTGTTTAATTCTTTCTTTATTTTTTTGAGATTTAATATAATTGTATCATTTACCCCCTCTATTTTCTTCCTCTAAGCCCGCCCATATATCATTCTCTGCTTTCTTTCAAATACATGACCTCATTAATTGTTGTAATATTTGTATGTATATATACATATATTCCTAAATCCATAAATGCATCCTGTTTAGTCTGTATAATATTACTTGTAGGTTACATGTTTTCAAGGCTGACCATTTGGTCACCAATTGCTGTGATCTTCCATGGTGAAGACTATTTTTACTGCTTCCAGCATTTAGTAGTTGTCTGTGGTTCTTTGCATAGGGTTGAGGTCTCATGGATTTTCCCCTGGTCCACATTAGCATGCATAACAGTTATACTTGTTCTGCTTACTTTTAGGAAGTCATATATAGATTTTTTTGAAAAAAATATTGATACATAGATGTGAATTCCTCAGAGTCAATTCATGTTAATATCAATATTTTCTGAATAAAGTTCAAATTTTTCTGCTTTTGAAGTTCAACATCTACCAAGATATCAGCCCAATATCAATGTTAGCTTTTGAATTTTTTCTTCAAAAGTATGAAATACAATAAGATTCTTAGTATACTTTATATTTTCCCAAAACACCAAATTAATTTATGTGTTATTGGATAAAACTTTTTGTCCCACTGTGCATGTTGGATGGTAATTATTTTATTAGGTTGAAAGATAAGATAATAGTATTTGAGTCATTTTATATACATGTTAGTCTATTATTGACCTATTCATTTCCTCTTGTTCTTATACACACATACAAAAAAACCCAATAGCTTCAATAAAAATAATATTAAAAAATCCAGGAGTAATCCTAACCAAGAATGTTTAATTTCCATATAAGTAAAACTTTAGGACACTGAAAGAGATAAATTGAAGAAGATACTAAACAATGGAGTGGTTGTATATGCTCCTGGATAGGCAGAACTAATATTGTGAAGGTAGATATACTACCAAAACTTATGTACAGAATTAATGTAATTCTCTTCAGAAATTCAATGACATTCTTCATGGAACTAAAACAGAAAACAAACAAACAAACAAACAAAAATCCTAAAATTCCTCCTGGGACACCAATAAGTAAAATAATTCTAATCAGAAAAAACACAACAAGCAGTGTCACACTAGTTAATATTAAACTAAACTGCAAACTCGCGATGCTGAAGCAACATTATACTGGTATAAAAACAGATCTCCAGAACAATGGAACATTTGATAGAGGATTCATAATTAAACCTATAAAGCTACAGACAATTTTTGACAAGATGTTAAAAACATGCAAGCAACATTATTTGAAATAGCCAGAACCTGGAAACAACCTAGTTGCCCGTCAACTGAAGAATGGATAAATAAAATGTGGTACATATACACAATGGAGTACTACTCAGCAGAGAAAAACAAAGAAATCATGAGGTTTGCAGGCAAATGGATGGAACTAGAAAAAAATCATCCTGAGTGAGGTAACCCAGACTCAGAAAGACAAACATGGTATGTACTCACTCATAAGTGGATACTAGATGTAAAGCAAACGATAATCAGACTGCAACTCACAACTCCAGGGAGGCTACCTAGTAAAAAGGACCCTAAGAATGACACAGGGATTGCCCAGTGACAGAGAAATGGATGAGATCTACATGAGCAGACTGGTGGTGAGGGGGTAATGGAGGGCAAGAGCCAGGGGAAAGAGAGCTTAGGGTAATGGGAGGTTCCAGCTGGATCGGGAGTAGAGGGGAAGAACAGGGAGGGTGATACCATGATGAATGAAGACCCCAAGGGAATAGGAAGAAGTAGAGTGCTAGAGAGGTCCCCAGAAATCCACAAAGATAACTCCACTGTAGACTACTGGCAATGGTCGAGAGAGTGTCTGAGCTGACCTGCTCTGGTGATAGGATGGTTGAACACCCTGGCTGTCATGATAGAACTCTCATCCAGTGTCTGATGGAAGTAAGAAGCAGATGCAGAGATCCATGGCCAAGCCCCAGATGGAGCTCCTGGAGGGAGTACAATTGTCAAGAGAGAGGAGGAATCATATGAGCAAGAGATATTGAGACTATGACTGGAAAAAGCACAGGTACAAATAGACAAACTAGTGGAAATGCATGAACTGTGAACCAATAGCTAAGGACCCCCCATGGAAGTGGACCAGGCCCTCTGCATAAGTGAGACAGTTAATTAGCTTGAACTGTTTGGGAGGACCCCTGGAAGTGGAGATGGGACCTGTCCTTGGTGCATGGGCTGGCTTTTTGGAGCCTGGGGCCTATGCTGGGACACTTTGTTCAGCCTTGGTGTAGGGAGGAGGGGACTGGACCTGCCTTGGCTGAGTCTACCAGGCTGGACTGACACCCCTAGGAGACCTGGCCTTGGAGGAGGTGGGAATGGAGATTTGATGGTGAGGGAGCAGGGGGGGAGGAGGGAGGACAGGGAAATCTGTGGCTGATATGTGAAATTAAGTTAATTATAAAATAAAAATATTTTTAAAACTGCACTGGAGAAAAGATGGGCTTTATTAATAAATGATGCTTACAAAATAAGATAACTACCCATTGAAGGATGAAATGAGATCTGTATGTCTCTCCTGGCAAAAAAAAAAAAAACAAAACTCAATTCAAATTGGATCAAAGACTTTAAATGTGAAAATGCTGAAATTGTTGAAAAGAAAACGAGTAAACCACTTCAGGATATAGGTACAGTCAAGAATTTTCTGAATATAGCATCTATTGCACAGAAAATACTCCAATAATTGAAAAGTATTATTACATGGAATTTGTAAGTGTCTTCACAGCAAAAGAAACTATCAACAATGTAAAGAGACAGCCTATATTATATTGAGAGAAAGTCTTTGCTAGTTATTCTTCAGCAGGTTAGTATCTAGATTATGCAAAAACTGCAAATAAAAATATCCCCAAACATTCCCATCAATAATTTGGTCAAATATCTGAATATTTCTCCAAAGAGGAAATATATATGGTGAATACATATTTTTAAATGTTCAGATTCTTATCACCCACCTAAAACACCAGGCAAGGCCATGTGTCCTTTTTACTCAAGAACTGGCAAGGAAGAAACAGGATAAAACCCGGGACTTTTTGGACAGCTAATCTAGCCTGGACAATGATCTCCACAACCTTCTGAGAGATGCTGTCTCAAAAATTATGGTGTAAAATGATTGAGAACTAAAACTGGTATTAATCTCACGCCACTACATGCATGAGCACACACATGCATGCATACTTGTTACTCCTGACTCCATCCCCACAAACATATACAAGCACCACAAAAACTGTTTTAAATAATTTCAAAGGGATTTTTTTTTCTCACTGAAACTTCAACATATTTATTGACTTGATTCAATTTATTCCTAAGCATGGGGTATATGAAACAGTTCAAAGTTAGGGTCTTAAACACAGGAATTACACTAGTATGTACAGGAAACAAATCAGAATTAGTGGGAAACTCTCAATAAATAAATGACTATAATAAATAAAAGTATTTAGACCTAATCAGTAGGTTTGTGCTTGGTTTCCACAACTATGAAAAAGAGTTTCTTAGAATTGTGTGAGTAGATATTTTTTCCTAACTCACTAGTTTTAATTGCTGAAATTGTACTTTCTAAACTTATACTTATTGGTTTGAATCTAAATCCTCTAAGATTCAACCCCATTAATACTTAACAAATGGATCCAAGGAACATCTGATGGTGAGATCTTTTTATTCAGATTTCATAATTGTTTGCCTGAAAAAAATAAATACAAAATGTTTCTCATTTCATTTTAAATAAAATATTGGATACTCAATATTACTCAATTTAGTATACAATATTTTTATTATAAGTTGGTTTACATTTCAACTGACTCCTAAATATACTCACTTCTTTACAAAATGATGGTAAATTTTTAAAATCATATATAGATATATATATATATAGATATATATATATACATATATATATATACATATACATATATATAATCAGTGCCATTCAAACACTATTAATCTTTCTGTCTAACACTTCTTAAGGGCAATCAACAAAAAAATTCCCCTTTTCATTAGTACTGTCTTATATCATCTAATAATTGGCTGTTAACATCCTTTATTCCTCTTTGAGTTTCCTATAAGACAATTTAATAATGTTGTCAAAATTATCTTTTAAATTTGACAGTCTTGCAAAAATTAAAAATTCAGTGTTTTTCTCACATGTTCTGAAGGTTCCAATTACTTGTAAAATGACCTCAATGTATTAGTATATATATTATATACTAATATATATTATATTATATATACCAATATATAGATAATATATTAAATATATTTGTATTATATTAGTATAATTAAATAATACATGTATTAGTATATATTACATATATATCTATATATATTAAATGTTTAAATATATATTAAATATATATATTGAATATATTAAATGTTTTCTTTCTTTTTTTTTTTTTTTTTGGTTTTTCAAGACAGGGTCTCTTTGTGTAGCTTTGCGCCTTTCCTGGAACTCACTTGGTAGACCAGGCTGGCCTCGAACTCACAGAGATCCGCCTGCCTCTGCCTCCCGAGTGCTGGGATTAAAGGCGTGCGCCA